AAATTCGGAAGGAGCACCTCAAAATTTATAAAATTACCAATTTTCAAAACTCCCGGAAAACTTTCCAGGTAACCACTATATTTCTCACCAAATGACTGTACTATAGGTAGGGTAGGTGTTTGTTACAATATACGAACGACCTATACAATATGTGCGCGAAGGCACGTTATACGCACCTAATTTACGTAATAATGACATGGGTACGTCAGTTGGCCGCTTTCTTAACTTTCTATTGCGAAATAAGACAGACACTTGAGCTAGCATTCATTATTTACTTAATTAAAGATATAAACTCAATTACTTTTATTTAAAAAACATTTAAATGATCCCTAAAAAATTGTACTAATATTATAAATGCGAAAGTTTGTATGTTTGTTATCCTTTCACGCGAAAACTACTGAACGGATTTGTATGAATATATATCGTAATCTTATAGTTTACGACCTGGATTGAGACAAAAGATACCTTTTATCTCAGATAAATTTGAGGTTTCTGTGGGTTTCTCAAAAAACTAAAGTTTAAGCGGACGAAGTCGTGGGCAGCCGCTAGTAGTAAATAAACACCAAAAAATACAATTGAAAGCCCAAAGGTTAGGTTAGGCAGTAGTTTGTAAGGATACATTAAAACATGAACCGTTTTATTTAATTAGATCTCTTGTAAGTCGTCTTTCTCTCGTGTATAAGGGAGAACTTTCAAGCGTTATTAACCCTTAAACACGCACATGTACCCCCACCAATATTGTGTCATTTGAAAGCCCATTAAATAAACTTAAAAAAACAATTCAATTAATTTTATTTTTTATTTTAAACAGTGCAAAAAAAAGAAAGTTTACAAAAACAGATTAATTACACAAAAACTAATACAAAAACGTTCTTAAAACTAACCTAAAACCTAGTGTTATCCCCCCTTGCCCGGAAGACGGCTTCCATACGTTTCCTCATGGATCTTACCAATTTTAGGAGCTCTTCTTGGATGGATTCTGGCCTCAATAGCGGCCACTTCGAGCTCCTGGAGAGTCGTGGGAGCGGGATCACGAGACCGGGCCTTGCGTTTCAAATTGTCCTAGAGGTGCTCTATCGGGTTCAGGTGACTTCTCCCTGGCCACTGCATGACAGAGATCCCAACCTCCTGAAGGTAGTCGCGCACAATGCAGTGTGGAGTTGGGATTTTTTTGTCGCCGAGTGTATTTCTCAATGGGTTGTGTTGTTTATCGGTGATTGTTCATATCGTCGTTGTCAAACCTAGTAGTGATTGATTTCATCAACAGTTTGAAATAATCCTTGGTTATTGTTAACAGTGAGTGATAAATTTGCATTGACGGATGGTCAGGAAGGAAGAGGGAGATTGTAGGAAGAAATAACTAGATCATTCTTTAATTGTGTGATGATAATACCATAGATTCCTTGGTGTGGAATTGTCATTATTACCTTTATTTTAATAACTTTAATTAGGAAACTTAAGATTGAGACTGCGTCGAAAAATGAGGCATTCTCTCTTTAGGAATTTGGGTCTGCAAATACACTCCCGGTCACCTAAGTCGAGCCACCTTGGTTTTTTTGGTTTGGAGTACTTATAAAAGATGTACGTAGAAGGAAAATGTTTTGATGCAGTTTTGGAGCTGGTATACTCATCATTCATTTAGAGTGCCACTGTTCTAAATTTGAACTACAGTTTATTAAAAAAGTCGAGTTACGTTGAAACAAGTCCATATTTGCTTTTTTCAAGGAAAAAAATCTAATCGATTTTTAAATAAAGACATGTTTTACATGAAAAGAAATGTTTATTTAGTAACTTGTATTGCCTCCCAGTGCATTTATGACAGCTCTCATACGGTTTGGCATAGAATTAATCAATATCGTTATGACATGTTGAGGAATGTCCTCTAATTCTTCCAAAATTACATTTTTGAGCTCCTGCATGGTTTGCGGGGCAGGATGATGAGCTCGAACACGCCTCTTCAGCTCATTCCATAGATGCTCCATAGGATTCATATCAGGACTTCGCGCTGGCCATCTCATAACAGTGATACCAATGTCATTTAAGTACTCCCTGACGATTCCCGCAGTATGGGCCCTTGCATTATCATGCATTAAAACTAGACTTGCAACGAATATTCGGTTACTATTCGGCATATTCGGCTGCTTTTATTATATTCGGCCGAATACCGAATTCTTCTTCTTCAACCTTTTTCCACCCACTGCTGGGTATAGGTCTCCTCCATGGTGCGCCAATTTACTCGGTGTTGTGCGATCTGGATCCAATTTCGTCCTGCTACTCTTGTGATGTCATCGGACCATCTGGCGGGCTGCCTACCAACATTTCTGCGTCCTGTTCTAGGTCGCCACTCCACAATAGCTCGACTCCACCCACCTGTCGTCCGTTCTGCGAGCCACGTGACCTGCCCACCTCCACTTCTTCCTTTCCACATTTCCTTGCTTGCCACCATGTATAAACGCTAAGGCGACCAACTTCATTATGTTAAAATTTTGTGTTACAGTGATGCGCGCGCATCTTAAAATTTCACTCTCATCATTTTTTCATAACGCGCCTAAAGAAGTATAACTTCAAAAACAAAGGAGCGCGAAACAATCACGTCTGTGCAAGTTTTTGGCGCTAAAATCCAGCCGAATACGTTTGCCTAATATTCGGCTATTCGGTCAGGGGCCTCGCCGAATATTCGGTATTCGGTATACTGCCGAATATACTATTCGTTGCAAGTCTAATTAAAATCACGTGGTTCTCTAAACATTGGCGAATGTATCTATTGCCATCTAGGGGCGGCAGTCGTAGTCCCGTCACTACCTCTAGCTCAGTTTTGCCTTCCATAGAGATTCCTCCCCAGACTGTCCATGATCCTCCACCATAACTCACTTTCTCGTCAACACAGCATTGCGCGGAACGCTCGTTCTGTCTTCGGTACACCTTACAAACGCTCGTTCTGTCTTCGGTACACCTTACTCCTTCCGTCATTACCGTATAGCATTATCTTGGACTCATCTGTGAAGAGAACCTGGCTCCATTGATGTCGAGTCCAATTTAGATGTTCGCGCGCAAACTCTAGACGGGCTATTCGGTGTGCTCGTGTCAATTTGGGTCCATTGGCTGGCTTATGGGGCTTTAAACCACGTTCATTGAGTCGCCTTCTAACGGTCCGAGCACTTACAGCCACTCCGTGAAAGTCCCTAAGCTGTTCTTGTATCTGAACAGAGTTAAGGAGTCGATTTCGTAAGCTCGTAGTGACAATGTATTGATCTTGTCTCGCCGTTGTCACTCGGTAACGAGGTCCTCCTGTTCGCCGAACGAAGCCGCCGGTATCGGTGGTACACTCTTTGAACAGCGGAACGACTTATGTGAAGTTGTGAACTCACATCTCGCTGACTTAGCCCAGATTGAAGAAGTACTACAGTTTGCGCGGCTACTTCCTTCAGGTGATGTATCCATAATTTTATAGCCAAAAACGGTTCAAATTAAAGAAAAATAACTAAACTAAACTTTGGTTTACAACAATTGCGAAAATTCAAACCAAATCGACATTAAATTGCTTCAAAAGCAACTTTCAACAGTCATTATTTTTTTCAAATCAATGACCAAGCTCGGCTTTTGTTCTTTATTTTAAATTCTAAAATTCAAATTTGGAGTAATACATACGGGAAAGACGATGAAATATTTATTTTTTGTTATATTGTATATTTTTTGTGTATTGGGCTTTTAGGCCCGGGAATGTAAGGTGGCTCGATTCAAGAGTCCGGGAGTGTATTTTACTCTAGATCAACTGCCGTATCTCCATTCAGCATAAGTTCTCTGGTCCATGGAGTACTGCTTCTATCTGTGCATACTGAAGCAAAAAATTACAATTCCTCTTGTCTTTCTTACTATTGTCCTATTTTCTTCTTACTGATGATGGGTATAAAAATTCTGCTGTAACATGCTTAAGAAATAAGATACTTACCTATAATCGTTATTTTATCTATGTATGTAGCAAAATTACATAATTTACGTGAACCTTCCGCTGCCACTTAATTGCAATTAACAACAGGATAAAATGGTGTTCCTGATAATATGTTACATGTAATATTTTATATTTATATATAATATAGGTAATTACCACATATAAAATTTATGGGCTTTAATTGGCGCTACGCGTGCGTTACTACATTAAAAGGTTGTATTTACTTATAGGTTGTATATCTATGCTTCGCATTGATGTTTATTTGTAAATTACTGCTAAACTGTGAATAAAACGAACAATTAATAATATTTCATTTATTATTTCTCGAATCCATACTAATATTACAAATGCGAAAGTGTGTCTGTCTGTTACCTCTTTACGCTTAAACCGCTGATTTGGCATAGAGATAGTTTGAGTCCCGGGGAATGACATAGCATAGTTTATATCCTAGAAATCATTCTTAAAAGGGTGGAACTTGTATGAGAAATCAATATTTCCAAGCAGATAAAGTCGGCGGGACCCATTAGTATGACATAAGTGTTATTTCAGCAAATTGGCCAATTCAAGCGTTCTCTCACAAATTGTTAAATAAGGTATTTCATTTCATATTTTGTTCATTTAATGTTTTATTTAATATCTTGTTATTTTAAGAATCGAATAGAACTAAGAAACATGCACTATATACAAACTCGTTATGTTTCGACACCACCGTAGTAGAGCACCACAATTTCACGTGTTATTGTCGAACTCCATAGTAATTTGACAATTGAGCGTGATAAAAATGAGCTTAATATCATATGGCGGTGCTCATGCTAGGGGGCCTCTATGCCTATAGTCGCTAACGGTTTTTGACAAATGGAAGTGATATTCACCCAGCTATTTACTGATCCATTACTGCTTTATTTTAACGCCACTAAGATACTTGTCGTGAAAAGTATCGATGTATAAAATATGCAATTGGCTCTTAAGAGACACACTTTTTTTTGCCAAAAAGTTAACGAATAGGCCAGCTGATCATTTGCTCAAGGCATGCCGTCATTTTTTTTTGCAGGTAGTAGGCCACAGAGAAGGCTTGGAGATGATGGAGTCCGCGGACCCCCTAGTCCTTCTAGTGCTGCTGCCGACCATCCCCGTGACGCTGATCAGCGCCAAGATGTACAATTGGGAGGACTCCGTGCTGCTGTTCCTCCGCAAGTACTGCCAGAAGATACCGGCCTTGGCGTATATACTGCCCTTCGGAAGGTGAGTGTGGCGTACACATACTTTATTGGGATTAGTTCATTTTCATAAGGCCCTTTGTACAATCAGCCATACTCGAAACTTACCACAAAATGTGAAAATTTCCTGATCGATATGTATCAAAAATGTACCTACTTAGATAAAGTTCAGAATCAGGGGGCCAATCGCCTAACTGGATTGCTTTGGAAAACGCTAACGCTTACGATTTCATTTTGTTATTTCTAGCCCCCTGAGGTTTTCAAATGACTCGCGCTCTTTTTTTTTCTTTTGCATTGGTAATAACAATGTTAAAGATAATGAGCGTGAGGTATTTCGGCGGTTAGAAATAACAAAATGAAATCGTAAGCGATAGCGTTTTCCAAAGCAATCCAGTTAGGCGATTGGCCCCCAGTTAGAGAGTTGTGTCACTGTTCGGTCATTGTTGCGACTGTGACTACATCCAGATTGATACCTATAAAATTAAAGTTAATCAGGCATTGATGATTGACCAAATCAATATATTCTAAAAATATGAAATTTATTGTAAGTTCGATTAGTGCCATTGCCCAAATAGCGACTTCTCTTCGAATTCAGGTCTTTTATGAATGTTAATGATAAGTAAACACATACTTTAACATTTCTATCAAGAAGTAGGCTGGCTGGAAGTGTAGCAAGGTTACCTTAACATTAACTGAATGCCAGCTGGTTGATAAAAGTTAGGATTTTTAAATATTCTTCCAAGATACGTCTCAATTAAAAACAAATTATGCCACCTCACTTACAGTGTAGAAGTTATGTTTCTACACCCGTTGTGCATTGGAGATCGAGGATTACACTGCTGGAATATCGCATACCATCTCTGTTATAGTGTTCTGTAAATGGAAGGTTCTTCCCGAGCAGGGCGCTGGTTAATTTGAACAGTCATCTTTTATCTTACCGCAATAAAATAGATTTTATATCAGAACAGAAAAAAGAGTAGTATTTATAACAGGCTTGTTCATAGCATGATTTATTCATTCCAGCGTGGAAGGCGACAGGGGAGCGATAGTGACAGGCCAAGTGAACCATCAGAACCAAAACACGAGCTCTCATCTCTCGCCCACCAGGATATTCTGTTCGGCGCTCCTCCTACCCACCATATCCACGATCATAGGCAAGATATTCTTCCGCTCCATCCAAAACAATCTTCACAGGACCATCCTAGGTGGACTCACTTACATTACCATAAAGGGCGCCCTCAAAATCTACCACAAACAAATGCTGTACATCAGACATTCCAGCAGGAAAATACTCGATTACACAGAGTCCAATCTGAAGTTATACAGAAGTACGAACACGACAGACGCCGTCTCCAGCACGAGGGATGATTCTGAACAAGTTATCTAAAGCCGGCAGTTAGGTATGTAAAAATGTACAGAGAGTTTATCCTTTTACGTATCGTCGAATCGCTGACGCAGTATTGATAATATGTTAACATTTTTCGAATTTTGAAATGACGATGGTTCTTCAATCAAATTTGTGTGGATGGCAGTGTGCTAGTTTACCAAGAACAGCCACCTAGCCAAGTGGAAAACGTCTCTTAGCGAAGTCTGTAAGCGCTACGTTAATAGAAAATGAATTCACACTTCAGAGTTTTTTAAGTCTTGATCACGTGATATGTCGTTCAAAAATGACAATCTCATACATTTAACATTTTAATTCACGCTTTATGCTAACAAACGTAAGCCACTAGGCCAGGTCTCCAAAGAACATTTTCTTTATAAAACTAATTTTTCTCGCTCGATCCATGATGTTACTGCTGCTTTTAGAAATACAACGCTGGAACTGATTTGGATGAAACATTCAATTGATTGTTTTTCGAATAGCACCTTGTATTGACATATGCAATGTATTACTTTAAGAAAAATATTTTTTGCTTACTTAAATTTTATTAATTCTTAAATCTTATTTTGATAATTAACGGACACTCAGCATTTTATGCTCAAGTTGTATACTTTTTTAATTATTTAATCTGTTATTTATAATCTGTCAATATCTGTCATCAGCACTGCGTTCCAAACCTACCCTCCGAGAGGATTGATTTAAAATGTATGAAAACTTATGTCAAATTTGACATTTGTTGTACCTGGAGCGAAGGTTTGGAACTTTATAACATTTTTATATTTGCAAAAAGCAAATGAATTATAGTTTATACAGCCACTTTGGTGAAATTTTGGAAATTAAATTTTTTTTTCTTCGATTAAATAAAAATATAATAAGGTTTGTGGCAAATAATATCGGCTTAATTTTGAGACCAAATTCAATTGTATAGGTACATGTTAAGAATTGTTTCTATGAAAAGTGCCGCTTGTCCTTTTATTGTAAATAGAATTATGGAAAATAGTACATTACATTTTAGAAACTTGCAGCGGGAAGTCCGATGCGTTATGTTGCAAAAAAGTTACGTTATTACTATATGATGCATCATATAGGTAATAATATACGATCGTTATATTATACTATACTTGAGCAACTATACTGTAACGAATAGAGGCATTTATACAAAATATTTTCTCGTTTTATTTTTCAAGTCGAAAAGCAAACTGGTATTGAGTGATAATGATGATGTTATTTTTGTCAAAGCTACACTTGTTTTCAGCATTTAAATTCTGTACTCTTTGGTGTATAGAATAATAAAAAATCAAAATTTAGTTACACCTTACCGTTTTTACGACTTCTGTGATGGAGTGATATGAACACCGATTTTCAAGGTGTCGCCTACTCATAGGTCCTAGATTAAGCTCAGTGGGGCAAATGTTTATATGATAAACATGAGCATTTGTACCTGGGTGGCGGTTTATATATATTTCTACAAAAATAGGTATATATTCTTATTTATTTGGCATTATCGGTCAGTTTCAATAATCAACGTCTAGTATAAGGTAGGGATAATCTGGTTTCCTTTCTATTATGATTAAAATAATAAAAATTATCTAGACAACAAAGATCTAATCCTATGGCCTATCTCTGACTGAAGTTTTATTGAAACTGGCCCTATTGGTATTTCTATCTGTTACCTGACTATACGATTCACAAGTCATACAATGCTTACTTTGGGGCAAGTAGAAAGTTGGAGTTTGGCATTTTATAGTTTTTGCCATTATGCTGAAGTACAAAGAAAGTATGTAATATGAATAAATTGATAGAGAATTTCAATTATTTTCTATCGATAATAATTGCTTGGCAATTTTATTTTGAAGGTATTTTGTGTCTGTTGTATATTTTGTGCCCTTTCTTATATAAATATTATTTATTTAGAAGCTTGTATAAAATTAAAAAAGTACTTATATAGAATAAACACCTAAACAGTATGATTGTGATTACTAAAATAAGATCAGTTAATACATATAGTGCGATTCAAATAAGAATAGGAAAGCCAATGACCTCCATCGGTCTAAATGTCGCTTGAAAAGTACGGGTTGCAAAATAACCTTTTTTAGCACTCGGCTTATCTATACTTATAATAAATCTGTAGAGAGGTCAATTCTGTACATGAAATATATTTTCAAAATAACTATCAGGGGGTGATTAGTGATCGATACTGATGCCAAAAATGCAATCAGTAGAAATTTTGTCTGTCTGTCTGTCTGTCTGTCTGTGTGTATGTTCCTTATAGAAACAAAAACTACTCGACGGATTTTAACGAAACTTGTTACAATTATTCTTCATACTCCTGGGCAGGTTATAGTATACTTTTCATCACGCTACAATCAATAGGAGCAGAGTAGTGAAGGGAAATGTTGGGAGAACGGGAGAAGTTACTCCATTTTTTAAGCTTCCGTCGCGTGTGCAGCCTTAATGGTTAAAGTTACATAGAAATCATGTATGACGGAAATATTCTACATAAAATTGTCTAAAAAATATCCCGCAACAGCATATGTCTATCTTTTATGGTTGACTCACAATTATATAAATAAAGTCATTGTTTATAATACAAGTCTGAGAAAAAAAACTATAGTGTACACTTCAGCTCTACACCGAAGCGAAGCGAGGGCGGGCCGCTAGTGCTAGAATAAAAACCAAACATTTGTAAACAAACAATTTCAAATATTGATAATTAATATTGGTTGATATTTTTTTTTCATTTATTGAGCTTTGGCTATGAATGGTTGATAACCTAAATAGTCAAGCAAATGTCACTTTAAGTTGCGTTCAGAAACTCGATTTTAAACTTTCTTTTACATAAAGGATCCATGTTCGTATGCGACCTAGTAATAGTGCATGATTATTGATTGATATTATATTGATTGATAACTACTCCGGCGGTAATGCAGAGATAACCGGAATTGAAGAGCTAGATTCTGATTAATGTTTCTTCTCATACAGTCATAATAAATAAATATTATCAAAAGTCGGATGTTTTCTTTTCTCAATCTTAGTAAATAAATTTTATTAAAAAAATCTGATGTATTCTCTCACTCAATCTTAGCATTTACTAACTTTTATTAAATGAAAACTTTTTTTTTGCTCACTCTACCCATTTGGTTTGAATTGACAGCTATGACGTCATAAAATGGCGCCCAGTCGGTCCTATTCTTAGTTCATCGCATTATACTGGATAATGGGCCTTAAACTGTTAACAATATAGTTTAAAATATTATTTGACTTATCGCGGATATGGTTTTGCAAACTGAAGCCAAGGACAAAAAGTAAAAGAATACAATACCCTGAAGCACGAACAATTATCGATTTGGAATAGTAGAATTCGATCTATTTTATACGTCAAATGTGTACCGATTTTTAGTTTCGTTGTGCTGTTTAAGTTTCCATACAAAAAGACAATGTTAAATTTGGCCTAAGAACCAACACCACTGGCATTTATGATAATTCTTAGTATATTTTTTGCGATAATTATCAGTATTTAGATTATGAGGGACACTTCCAGTTAAGTAAGCTATATTAAAAAGGTAAAAAAATAATCTGACACATTAACTACCATTTTATGTGTATAATCTATGACAGCGCTGCAAATAAAAGACTTTCTTCGTAATGCCGGCACTTCACTTGGCTGTTCGTGTTTGCTATTTGAAAACTTGACATCAGTCTGTCCTTTTTATTCTTTATTAAGCATGACAAGGACAGACTGTTATCAAGTGAAAGTGGCCGGCATAAAACTCGATACTCTGTGGTTGTGGTGCAGGTAGTTTGCATTCGTAGTAATCTGTGGCATTCGTGCCATCTCGTTTCGGATTACTTGTTGTGTGTGTTTATTTGGGATTATTTTTCCTTTAATTTAATTATTTCGGCTATCTAATATGCCATCGATGATACCAAAGAACCTTATTACCAAGTGCTAGTGAATCTGTGCCACAACATCCTGAGAGGATCAAACTGCCAAATAGGGTATTTGACAGTAGTACAAATAAAGTGCCAATTGTTAGCATCTGTGTTTAGAATGAATATTGGAAGGGGTTTTTACTATTTTAACAAAAAAAATATTCATAATTTTACTAAAAACCCACGAAAAAGATAATAGCTTTCTTATCTATTGTCACGTGACCCAAAACGCTTGGGATTGGCGGAGCCTAAAATGACGTCACACGCAAGTGAACTTCCGGTAAAAGTGACATTAGATTGTATCGTTCGACGTTTTAATAACAGTCGTGTGACGTCACACACTAGTAAGACGCCATATTGTCCAGAGTAACGTTTTTGCGTCAGCTTTAAAATGGAGTTTTTCATTTGGTTATTTTTACTGAAATACACAACAGAATGATGAATATCTACTTTTTACGGACTCCATACACATTAGTCAATAACGTAAGATCGTTTTCTAAAACTTGTCAAATACTCTATTATTCAAGAGCACCTGATACACATTCACGCTGCATATTTACACAATACTTATACATATTGTGATGTACAATATGATACAATTATGTGAAAAATAGTCATTAAATAAGAAGCAAAACTACAGTTTTTATTTTATTCATGATTCCTACCTAACCAAGTTTTTCCTAATAGTTATTCTTTATAATCGCACCGAATAAAATAGAATCAGTTTTAATATTAATTCACTTCATACTGAGCTCATACTAAGTTCATAGCTATGTTACATTTAATATTAAACATAACCTCAAAAAATATTTAGTTTGCCTGATAATTTAAGTTCTCAGAAGTGTCCGTCAATAATCTTTGTTTTTACAGTCATTTACTTGCAATTTCGAACCTAGAAAATAATATTTCATGATTGTTGGTTCTTAGGCTAACAATGTATGGACGCAGAACAATGTCCTTTGACAATGACATTTCGCACTCGCAAATTATTCGAATTCGATATTGGTTCGTGCTAAGGGTACTGTACTGAAAAAATCTAAACTTATAAATCTGCGTACTCTTATTCCATTACCACAGAACGTGGACAATTAAGCCCGGTCTAAAAATAACACTGTCACGTTTGTTTCTTTAAGAGAAGACAGAGACATCATTAAGATTAAACAGACTGAGCGACACTCTGTTAAACTTATTTTTTCATTTATTTCAATTAATAAAGACTTTTATTATTATATACTTAAACCAATGTTTTATATTATAACCTTTTTCATAAACAATGCTTTCTAAAACCCCGCAAAATAATAATATGTACGGCCAATAGAAAACGATTCTCTTATTGTATAAAACGTATAAGAAGTAAATTAAATTATTATTAATACTTGCACCACAAATATAACTCTTATTGCTACATTTTAAAGACTACTTTGTTAATATCAAATTGTTTATATCCGATTCATGTAAGCATCAATGTAGATTGGTGTTTGTTTCATTTAATTAGCCTGTGCTTTAATGCACAGCTAAAAAGCTATTGATTGAAGTGTCTTTAAAAATAGAAAATATATTGAAA